AAAAAAAAAAAGAAAGAAAGAAAAAAAAAAGAAAAAAGAAAAAGGAAAAGAAAAAGGAAAAGAAAAAGAAAAATCTTTTTACGATGTTCATGCAGATCCAGTCTTGGACCCTCTTTGACGTACCAGCTGCTTAGCGTTCGCGCTTTGTTGATATCAGCCCTTCCTCGATCAGACTGGAGTCGGTTAGGCACATGGCTTCGGATGGAGCTTCTACCTAGTACCTACTATGGTATGGGCTCCACTTCTACTTGTCATTGCCCAGCTGTGGTCCCGAGCTGTGATATCCGTACCCTCTCTTCAGCAGCACTGTCATTTTTTTGCAGCCAGCCACTATTCATGATGATCTCCTTGAGGAAAGCTCTTCATCCTTGGCCTACGGGGATGAACTGGAAAGCTATCATCGGTGGCCGTGGAAATCAAGTTTAAAAGGCATATCTCGCCCTCAATGATGGAACACTATTATAGAGCAGCCACTCTTCCACAGGGACTTAGCTTGGTTTCGCCGTCTTAGTATATCCATTGCCCCCATTATCCACTTTCTCTTCCCTTTGATCTACTTGGGCTTTTGCTCTTCGGTCTCTAGTCGTCTTATTCCCTAGAATCGCTTCTTAGAGAAAGTAGCAATGGCAGACGGACGTAAGCATTCATCTTCGATCCTGAGCAGGGGTTTACATTAGTTTGCAATGTCGAAGCGATACTAATGAAATATGCATGATTTAGTCAACGATGCACGTGCTCTAAGAATGGCTGAGATCTTCAACGACTACCGAACCCTCCTGGTGCACATCTCCCAACAAGATATCCCAGTTCCCGCGGAGGATTACTACGAGCCAGGCTATGCGGTGATCCGGGAGAGTTTGGCTGCTGCGCAAGCCCTAATGTCGTCTAACTATAACCCTGTTCCGCCAACCGGGAGGAATGATTTGGAAATGGAAAAGGCTGAATTTCGGAGGCATGTATCTATTCACTCCAGTCTATATATCCTGTTTGTTAACTGATTGACTGACTAACGGCCTGCAGAGTCATACTTGATATAAGCTCACGCCGCTTTCAAGCTCATAAGATTTACCTCCGCGCGGCAGCAGGGAGAAGATGGTCTATTAATCGGGCAGATGCCCTGCAAAGGCCCCAACAGACACATGCTTCTCGATTGAAGCTAGTAGACGACACATTCCGACAGGTCGGTACTTCTCTATGCAATCTGCCACGGAGCTATTTAGACTGACGTTTTTGGGCTTGAACAGGAGCTTGGCCAGGTGACAGATGAATACGTTGTGGCTGATCTTCGGGCAGCCGATATACGCGCAGGCCATTGGCTTGATGAGGATCCATCTTTACAGGAAATGCGGAATTGGATTCGAGAACATCCATGAAGCCACACTTCGCGTTAAGGTGATTTGCCGAGGGCGAATCAGAACCACGGCATTTGATTAAGCGCAGGTCGTTTAATTACGCCTAGGAAGAGATGTCCCTCTTCCACAAAAGTAAAAAAGTTCCCTCCCCCTCCTTTTTATTGGGACTTGTTTTTATTATGATGTTGTTGACGGTTATGATATCCCCACAAGTGATTGTTTATGTTAGACGCTTTGAGATTGTCGAACGTCCCTTTTTCTTTTCCACACTTAATTACTCTTTTTTTTTTTTTTTTTTTTAGTTACCCTCTCTCATTTGTTGTTGGTTCTTTTTACGGGTTCTATGGATCTCGAATTTCGGGCTATTAAGTGCAATCACATCTGTACCAGTCAGAGAAAGGAATGCGGTTCCCCATTAGATTGATTAATTTCGGCCGATAGATCAATTTGGCTCTGGTGAGCTGAAAAAGAAAAAGATGAATGATATTGAATAATGGAAGGCTTACATGTTTTACATAATTTCATTCCTGTAATGTCCTTACTAATAGTATGATATACTCTGTAGTGATTACTTTATCCAGTGAGTAGGTTCCTTCAGGTAGAAGTAGTAGTAGTAGTAGTAGTAGTAGTAGTAGTAGTAGTAGATCGTACTGGAATATCTTGTTTGATCGTTTTCAATGCCAGTCGTTTTCTGTCAAGGTTTTGAGCCGATTTGCACTGTGGAGCCCCACGGATACGAGTGGGGGAGTTGGTTTATTTATTTTTTATTTTCAAGACTACGGAGGACACTAAAGGACATGGGGGAAAAAAAATAATAAGAAGGGTTACGAAAATTATTCAATAGATCTACAATTCCATTGGGAAGAAAATTCATCCATCTAGGACATTTTGAAATTACTTTCAATATTTTTTGGAAGTTATAGGTAGTACAGATAATATGGAATTAGTGAAATATTCATGGTTGAAACAATATTAAAACTTACTTTCCTGGATAGCGTACGCGCCTTCCTCTCTGGGTAACGTCTTAACGCCGAACAGTCCATCGGAGATACCGAGCCACATGGATAGATTCTCATGCACTATCCCTTTTAGCGTCGATTAGTCGAGGACATCCCAGCTGAAAAGCTGTGTGGACTGTGGAGTCCACGGAAGGGCACAAAGCCAGACTAAGTTTAGCACAAAATGCACGGCAGTTGAGAGTTGAAACAGACTTTTCATAAAAAAAAAAACTTTTTTCCCCCAATCTTGTGGTCTGTGAGTTCGAAATGTGGCCGTGCAGAGAAGCCCTGCAGTACTAGTTTAAAGCCGCTGCCAATCAGATGCCCAGATTGGCAGCCTGCATCACAGTTCAGCTGAGGAGGTACAAAGTGATCCACAGTGAAAACCAGATAAGGTAGGTCTTGTTTGTGCTAAGGTTCAACTGTCTGTACTATGTACGCTTTCTCCAAACAGCCCGGTTTGACATTAGAGATCGTCGTTGATTATGAAGCGTGTGATGTTGCCGTCTGTCCGATGCAAGGCGATCGACTCGACATTTTTTTTTTTTACTCTTTTGGGTTGCCGATTTCTCGGGATTTGCTTCATTCTCTTTGTGCTCGACCTGGTTCGGAGTTCTCCTACGCAAGGAATTCTTCCTCAACATATTTTTACCCTTCCAGGAACCCAAGGTTCGTGACTTGGAGTCTCGAAGGATGTTCTTTGTATCTTCCTTCACCTTGCTGTATTCAGACTTGTGTAGTTGGTGGGGAGCTATGAATTTTACGGATTGAGAAGTATCTTCCCTTGGAATCTATGACAGTACTCTTGATCAATCAATCTGATGATTTTGGGTGGCCATGGAGCTCGTACATTATTCAAACAGACACTCCAGGCACTTTGGTATCATGAATTCAGTTCAAAATAGATAGATCATGTGCACTGACCCATTCGCCAGATATATTTCTGATATCTGACATGTTCTCATCTTTAAATCCGGTCAGTTCTTCATCGCATGCGATGCATTACCTACTGAGTCGTGCTACATCACAGACCACCGTGGTGGTTCCAATACCACCTATGGTCATCATAGTCTTGAAAATTGTAACCTGAGTGCCCATGATACCCTCCTGGGGCCAACCAAGAGAGGCGAGATGACACTCGTCCACATTCCTTGGCTATCACCCGGACTTTCGGTCATCCAAGCAGTTCACTACTCACTATTCAGGGATCCCAGAGCCGCGATGAAATATCCTGGTCGTCGAAGAAAGGGAGCCCTTCCGTGATATTGACCTGTCCTTCTGACAGTTTACACGATTCAGGTACTCATCGTATGAGGTAGTATCAATATTTCGGATGAACCATCCCACTGCAACTTCGCTATACGGCGAGAGAGCCGCGTGCAGAGCGACAAGGGAATGCTGCAGTCACATGGACATGAGGAACTACGAACATCAAAGTTTCAGTAGAGAAAAATAAAGGTCAGGCAGGGAATGACTACGCCACTAAAGGCTTTGTGTCGGTTTTAAAAGGTCGTGCAAACGTGTGCCCCGAGTAAATGTAACAGACTGGATTTGAATCTATATAAAGATGTTAGAATTTGGTTTTTCTTCATCGAAAACAAAAGTGTCTTAGCCATTGTATCTATTCTCGTGTCATCCTTTTAGCCACAGTCAGTGACAGCTTGTCAGCCACAACCATCTCACTCGCCACACCCCACATCCTTGCACCGCCGCAAGCGAACCCTGAACCAATAAACTCTCAGCCCTGTTTGTTATTTTGGGTATCCGGCCCGCGTCATAAGTCGGTCCTAAGGCAGGTACGACCCAGGCCATCAGGCTGCAGTTTATTTTCAGGAGGAACACTCAATTTAAATACCAACTATATACCTCGGTGAGTATGACACCTTCTCAACTTATCCACTGTTTTGCATTCCTTGGCATTATTCTCGCTCTTCTTCTTTCCCGATACCTGAGTGATATCCCTATTCTAATTCCTTCTACCCCTCCAGCCATGTCTTCCGGGCTAAAGTCTGTTGCATATTTCGTCAATTGGGTAAGTTAGCATCCCGAGTGAGCTTCCTTCCAAAGGTATTAATTCATAAAGGCGATCTACGGGCGCAACCACAACCCCCAGGATCTCCCTGCAGATAAATTGACCCATATTCTTTATGCGTTCGCCAATGTCCGACCCGAGTCCGGAGAAGTGTATCTGACAGACACCTGGTCCGACATCGAGAAGCATTATCCAACGGACTCTTGGAATGATGTCGGCACTAATGTCTACGGATGCATCAAGCAGCTGTTCTTGCTCAAACAGCAGAATAGGCAACTGAAGGTTCTGCTGTCGATCGGCGGATGGACCTACTCGGCCAATTTTGCCCAGCCGGCAAGCACGGAGGCCGGACGCACTAGGTTCGCTGAAACTGCCACGAGGCTGGTGTTGGACCTTGGTCTTGATGGTAAGTTGTATCGATAGATTTGAGTGTATGTCACCATCTGTTAACGTGAAAAAACAAGGTTTTGATATTGACTGGGAGTACCCTAAGGGTAAGCAAATGCACGAAGACGGCCGCAGAGAAGCTTGCTAACAGGACACCTAGACGATCACGAGGCATATAACTTTGTGCTGCTTTTGCAGAAGTGTCGTCAGGTGAGTTGATCTCTCATCTTCGTTCTTCCTCGGTGCTGACACAGTGTAGACCCTGGACAGAGCAGCTGGCCCATATCGAAAGTTCTACTTGACCATTGCCTGCCCAGCAGGTAAGGAACATTACTCAAAGCTCAGGCTTCGTGAAATGACACCGTATCTGGACTTCTACAACTTAATGGCCTATGACTATGCTGGCAGCTGGGACAGTGTTGCGGGCCACCAAGCAAATATTTATCCTTCTCCTGACAGGCCAGACTCGACCCCATTTTCAACAGTCGACGCACTTACATATTACGAGACGGCGGGTCTTGTGCCACGCTCTAAGATAGTTGTTGGTATGCCCATCTATGGACGTGCTTTCACTAATACCGATGGTCCTGGTACGGGTTTCTCCGGCGTGGGTGAAGGAAGCTGGGAGAACGGGGTTTGGGATTACAAGGCACTTCCCAGACCAGGCGCAACGGAATATGTTGATCCCAGTATCGGTGCATCGTGGAGCTATGACCCTGCAACCCGCACGATGGTCTCGTACGACAATGTGCGCATGAGTGAGACCAAAGCAACTTTCATCAGGCACCATGGACTAGCTGGTGGTATGTGGTGGGAGACTAGCGCTGACAAAGGAGGTAAGACTGCCAACAAAGCTGATGGTAGCTTGATCGGAACCTTCATGGAGGGCGTTGGAGGACCGGCCGCCTTGGATCAAACCCCGAATGCACTTGAATACCCAGAAAGCAAGTACGACAACCTGCGAGCCGGTTTCGCTTAGACTCAAGTTTGAGATACCCCCGTCCCTATGTTTTAACATCGTCTTATTTTTGTGGATTTGCATATTCTTGCTGTAGTTCAGAATGCATACATACAATACTTTACGAGTCGCTAGATTTAGATCCAAGCCAAGGGGCGCGAGTGTTTCGAATTTTTATTTCATTTTCAAGGCTCCTATCGAACTATGGTAACCCCATGCACCTCAACCGAAGATCCACCAATCTAGATTCACCGAAATTGCCCTAGATAAACACCATATGCATCACCGGTAACAAGAAAGGCGGAGCGATCTGAGATTAGATCGCTTATTTGGACTCGTCGAAGACGTAGGTGAGGTGGCACTTGCCACAGTACTGGCGGTTGTGCATAGCAGCCATGAAGACACCGGCACCACACTATAGAGTCATTAGTCATTTTGCCACACAAATCTCAGATGGGTATCCTAAGAAAAACGTACCTCGGGGGCGGGGCACTCGCGGCGGAGACGCTCGATCTTGCCATCACCGTCGACCTTGTAGTACTTGAGGACGGCAAGCTTGGTCTTCTTGCGCTTGTGCTTGATCTTCTTGGGGGTGGTGTAGACCTTCTTCTTACGCTTCTTACCACCACCACGCAGGCGGAGCACGAGGTGAAGGGTGGACTCCTTCTGGATGTTGTAGTCAGAAAGAGTACGGCCGTCCTCGAGCTGCTTGCCAGCGAAGATCAGACGCTGCTGGTCAGGGGGGATTCCCTCCTTGTCTATATGCTGTATCAGTACACTGATACTTGTATCTCATTTGCCAAATAGCGAGGAAAAAGAGAAATGCTTACCCTGGATCTTGGACTTGACATTGTCGATGGTGTCCGAGGACTCCACCTCAAGGGTGATAGTCTTACCCGTGAGGGTCTTGACGAAGATCTGCATCTTGATGAAGGCCTGATATCATGTAAATGTTAGTTTAAGACACACTTTATGGTGACGAATGTTGGATGCATAGGCGCAAGTGTCATTGGTCATTTTTGCCTCGTTTCTCTTCCTTTGTCCATTTCGCGCAGTTCAGCTGAAGGGATTGCTGGGAGGAGAAAGAGAGACAAAAGTAACTCAGGCGACTGCGATCCCATATCCATCATTGCAGGGTACAGGGTCATCACTAACCTCGACAAGACTTGTCTTCCTCAACCTTCGTTGCGATCGTGTGGAAAATATGTAGAGTGGAGGGTCTTAGTGCGTTAAAATCGGTTGTGTGATCACGTGGAGCACACTTTTGCCGGATTGGTCCTAGCGTAGAGAATCTCGGATAATCAGGCTCTCCGGGTCCTCATCTTTTTTACCAAGTCAGGTGACAGGATCAAAGGTTCGAAGTCACGAGATTCGAAGCGGGATGCTTACGTCATACTTGAATGCCTGGAAGCGCAGGCCACAAAATGATCGACCCGTCTTGGGACCCGCTCGATCCAGATTGGAAGACACTCGAATTCATTCGTCATCATCCCTTCCCTTCACCAGTTGCTAATTATTGATCAAATGGTTTCATGATTGGCGTCAATTATTATCCAGGCTATTGCAAAGGAAGGGAGTATCATGAAGCGATAGTGCCTTAAACCCTCACAGGCGACAGGGTCCATTTTCTTCAATCCGAGGAGGCGATATCGATAACTAATATAGGGTGTTTGTCTGGACCGCGAGGGGGAACCAGAAACGAGCTCCTTGCAGGAGTAACTAACCTGCCGGATCGCAGCCTTAATTGCGTTCGGGCCACTTTTTTGTTCGATATTCTCCGTGCTCGAACCAAGGCGCAGCGCCGGCGATCCACTCAGCAGCGCAAATGGACGGCCCCATGCCAAGGGCGCTGGTTTCCCTGACGCCTCAACCCGGGTGCGTTGCTGGGCCAACAGCGCCATTGTTGATCTGAACCGTGGGCGATAGATCGGGATAGCTTCAGCTTCTCCATCCACCTTTCCCTGGTTCCCACCTCTAAATACTTCCTCTTGCCCTTGGTCCTCTTCTCTCAGAACCAGAGGTCCAGGAATCGCGCAGGGAAGCTTCACTAAAGCTTCAACCCCGTTGTCGCATTAGTTTCAGATCTAGTCGGAAGAGCGACATAGTTCTTTTTCACCTGAGCTTCCTCTCCTTCTAACCCTTTCTTTCCCTTATCCGTCTTCTTTGTTGAAGAGTTCACCGACTGACACAGTGGACAGGTCGGTTTGATACCATCTATCGTACGACTAGCGCTGCGTGAGGTATGCATACCACGGTTTTATGCAATATGCGCAACGGTTTCCGGAAGACTTACATATAGAATTAGATCTGTCAATTGCCCGCCACCGATTTGTGACGAGTGGCTTATAGACTTTGCCCACCATGTTATCGAACCCACATCGGAATCTACAGGAACGACATCGACAACATCGGCGGCAGATCTCAACACCCTCCGCTCTTGATGCCGCCAAAGTTCCCAGTCTTCCTGCCCAGGCAATGCACCGATACCATGCTCATCGTCGCGGCCAGAGTCTAGACCAGAGATCTCTACACATGCAGCGATCGCAGACCGTGCAAGATGGTAACCTCTTAAATACTAACGCAACAGGTCCCCTGGTAATGCAACAGCAACACTATGCTCGTTCGGCGCAACCGACACCCATGCCCGTGATGCCTGAGTGCCACACGTTCAGTCATGAAGAATTGCAAACCCAACCAAGTATGGGATACATGAGCCCAGCCTTCGCCAAGGCCGAGACCCCGGCGCTGGAAAGTCGGCCGATGAACCTCCATCTCAATTTGATCCAGCAACAGCAGTTGCAGCAAGCACAGCTCATGGAGAACAGCGCTTGGGATTTCTACCCACACGACAATCTCCCAACGGGACTTCCGCACCAGGCCAACGCAGTTCCGGCAGATATGAGACGACTATCTGTGCAGTCGGATGTCAGTCCCGCGCAAAGACCGCATACGCCGAAACCTACGCGTAAGTGCCCTGATATTAATCACAAGAGACAATCCCCACTGATGAAACTTCAAGACTACCTTCCCATTACCCCTGCGACAACACCATTCAAGAAAACAGTGGATCTTGCGCAGTATGGTGGCGACATGCAGCCAACCCCTACCAAGGAGCAGAGATTGTCTGTTCCCGTTTCAGCCCAGCCGTCGTACATGCAACGTGCTAAGTCTCTCCAAGGAGTGGCTGGGACGACCTTCTCCCAGCAAAAGATTGATATGCCCTCTCCCCCAAATACAGCATCCTTCGAGGTGGAAAGTTTCGATGTGTTTGACTGCCAGCAGGGTTCCAGTTTCGAAATTTCAAAGTCTGAAAGTTTTTCATCTAACCATTCTTCAACGTCGTCGTCAGCAACATCCCCTTTCAATTCCTCGCCCAACCTTGCCTCCATGCCGCACCTTGCAGACAGTGGTAAGGCGCAGAAGATTCCTATTTACCGTGCAACACCTAGCCGTATGACCCCAAAGAAGACACCAAGTGCACCCCCTAGCTCGGCCAAACCCAAGCTTTCTCCAAGGGTAGCGTCTATCGACAGCCTCAATCTTGACGTCAGGGTCCATGCCTCTATCAAAGAAACTGGTGTCACCATTGACGAGATAGCATCATACATCCATGGTCCTGACCCAGAAGATGGAAAATGGGTATGCCTACACCCCGGTTGCGAACGCCGGTTTGGAAGGAAAGAGAACATCAAGTCCCATGTCCAAACACACCTTGGAGATCGTCAATACAAATGTGATCACTGCGATAAATGCTTCGTCCGCGGACACGATCTTAAGCGCCACGCCAAGATACACACCGGTGACAAACCATATGAATGCCTCTGCGGCAATGTGTTCGCCCGACATGATGCCTTGACTCGGCACCGGCAACGAGGCATGTGCATTGGCGGCTACAAGGGTATTGTGCGCAAGACCACCAAACGCGGTCGTCCGAGAAAGCATCGGCCTGAAATGGATGAGAGGCAAGATAAGTCCTCCAGGACGCGCCAGAGAATCGCTGAAAAGTCATCGTTTGATTCTTCTGGATCAGACACTTCGCGCAATTCGCCGCCCTCGGAAGTCTTCGAAAACATGAGTCTCCAGGGTTCTAGTCCGGTGGGAGAGATGCCAATGTTCGGCAATGTTAATTACTCATTGCCCCCTGAGGTCCTGACTTTCACACCTCCCGCCTCTCCTGGGGGTAGCATAAGAAACAGACCATCGCCTGCCCACAGTCAGCGATCGATTACCCCCAGCACGGAGGATGAAATGCCACCCTTGTCTCCATCCAAACGACCTCTGGAAAGGATCATTGAAGAGTCCGGTCTACCTCTAATTTCGGACCCTGAAGCCTGCCCCTACACGCACACTACAAGCTCAACAACTCATGCCCTATCTTCCCCACACACCGCCCCCACTTTGATCGACTCATCAAATGGCTCAGACCTAGACATTTTCATCAACCAAGATCCATCTACAAGCTTCAGCAAGCACGAGTTCCCTGGCTTGACTGACCCTGACATGGCGGCATTCCCTGATTATGTGAACGGTCCCTCTTTTGATAACGGCATGGATTTGTTCCAAGGCAAAGGCTTCTCTAACGGTCCCTCAATGGGTGACGATTTCTTTTCTTTCCAATTCCAAATGGACGAACAACCCTCGGACGTTATGACGAGGGAATTCTTCTTGGAGTGAAGGACTCGCAAACGACAATTTATAGACATGGAAAAACATTGATGGAGACTGACGACGCAACGACACTCGAATAATGGTGAATGTGAACAACTTTCATGACTGAGATATAGACGACTGGAAACCATGCATATGACAAACGAACTTTCAAAAATGGCGCGACGAAACAATGTACAATTTACGACTCATCAAAAATTTTCGACGATCAACTTCCACTTTCAACGACATCTGTGACAGAATTTTTCGGGCATTTCGATCTTTCTTTTTCATCTCAATGTGGTTATATTTTCATTTTGATTTTTATGTGACTTGCTCAGCGACACATGTACGACAATTTCTAGGACTTGCGGGGAAAGACTTTTGACAATTTTTACGGAGTTCTGCAGGTCATCCTTTCCTTTGTTATGCTTTACGCCTTATATTCCTTCGTTCTTTCTATTCACGAGTTTATATGACGTTCATGTGATTTGCTTTTAAGACTCGAAGACTGTACTAAATGGGTATGAACTTTTCTGTTGGGTACATCGTCGTTCTCTGTGGTCATGCCCACCTGTACTTTAGGCCTGCAATAGATCCACTAAATTAAACAAACCAAAAAAAAAGGGCAATTTACATATAAACAGTACTTCGATCATAGTTGAACCTAAAAACTTCTATATCTTAGTACTCAATCTATATGATTCTATAAACCATGCGTAAGTAGTACAACACAAATAATATCCGGTCACATCACGCAATGCAGAGCGCAAACATGAAAACAGGAGACGTTAATGACTTCCTCTCCACGTAATCGTCAGCTCAATAGGATGCCCCGCTTCCGACGCATAGATTTTGCTCTTTGTAGGGCCTTTAGGTGCCTTATCCGCAAAGAAGGTCGTATTTCCCTGGTAAGAGAGCTTGCCATCTTGAATCTAGAAGAAATGTAAGAATTGAGTTCAAGAAGAGAAGTAGCGGATCAGAAACTTACACTGAACTCAACTGGGTTCTTGATCCGAGGACCGCAGCTGAACGTATCTTTTTCAAAAGAACACTTGCCCTTACTGGACTGCAATGTGAATGTCTCATCTACGAGGTGTATCTCGTTAGCGTATTTTCAGGAATTTGTAATATACTTAGGAGAACAACGAGATGTAGAAGACGAACCAGAAGCCTTTTCGATCCGGAACGTTGCGCAGGTCCCTGATGTGAACCAGGTTCCGCGGCTGATTATACAGCCTCTTTGTTGGCCTTGTGTTGAGACGACCAGGTTCCCTCGTTTCGACTTCGGTGTACCGGTACTTGTTGGCTCTGGGGGTCCTCGTGTTTTGGTTGGTTCATCTTTTCGAGGTGTCTTTGGCTGATACCGGATACCCTTGGAAGGGCAGTTGGATGTTTGGCCATCTAGTACGGGCGGTTAGACGTCATATACCCTCCTGGTTATATGAAACAGGATTAGGGGAGCAAACCTGGGTTGGCAGGGATGAATTTGCCCGTTTGCAAAGGCCCAGCGACATTGAAGAAATACCAAGCCTCATTCAAGTTATGGTGGCGGCATCTAACGACAACGTCGGCCCCATGCGCCTTCACTAGAGCGTCATGGATCTCACTCAGGGAGTAGGTCTCCGTGTAAGAAGGGACAATCCCAGCACCGGCAAGGATCTAGTAGAGATTAGTTGTCTAGTCGCGTTGGTGCGATACGGAATCCAAAGTACTGCAGGAGCACGAACCTCGTGTGTAGGCAATCCGTGAAAGAGCTCCACTGTCTTGTCAAAGTAGTCCACCACATCCTGTTGCGGGTAGTATATGTCGTAGCAGTGAGTCTCTAGGGTACTAATGCAGGTTCCGTGCTTGTTCCACTCATGCTCCCACAGGTTCGGGTCGTCTCCCTTCCAGTCTTTCCAAAAGGTACGCATCTCATCCAGAAGATCACCCCTACCTGAGTCAGTCAGGATCAGGGAGATGTTGCTATACCGCCTTTTTGAGTCGCAGTATTGAGGAAAACCTCCATTGCAGTAATCTGGCCTAGAAAGTGCCAGGAATCAGTGTCCCAGTTACAAAGATTGGTCGCCCTTGCAAGAGCCTCACCATAATCCATGAATAGTCCAGGAATCCTCAGGTCCAATAGCCGGGTCGGCATCCCAAAACTGCGATTGAAGGAACTGCCCCCCGGGATAGTTGAAGCAGCATTTGTCTTGGCCATGATACGGAGTCTGGCAGCTCAGCTCAGCCTTAGAGCAGTGCTGAAAGCTGCTCTGCGAGGATTCAATTTCGGGTCCAAGGAGACTTGAGAGCCCCAGGGACCCTGTCAAGGCGGTTAGCACCTGCTGTGGCCCTGGAATTCCCTGGAACATCCTGGTAATATACTAGTGGTAGTAGGGAAGTTGGCGTATTCCGCGCTATGGCTTCCTCTAAAGGACTTGGAGTAGTGAGCTAAAATCAGTATCTGTCGCAGTTTACTCGATTAGATATATAGGAGAAGTACATGACTGGACATATATAAGATAGCTCGAGGTAGACGTTGTACCCCGTGATCCTATGACCGATGACTAAGTTGGATCGCCACATGTGATCCATCAGCTGATACGTAGACTGATAAATGGAGCTAGTTAGATAACCTTAACTGAGCTAAGCTGTGGAGAAGCTATAGAAGCTCCCAACTATTGATAATCACTCTCCTGACCAGACTGCTGTCTTGGTTCCTGGCGTCTCTCTCAATGGTTTCTTCTATCTTTCCTCCTCCTCCTCCTCCTCCTCCTCCTCCTCCTCCTCCTCTTCCCTCTTCTTCTTCTTCTTCTTCTTCTTCTTATACCTGGCACCATCCGTCAAACATAGCAAAGGTCTGGTGGATCTTGGCCCCGCCGGTATTGATATGTAAGGAACCGGCATCTCAACATATTGGTCTGTATCAAAGCTGACCCCAGCACATGACTAAGTTATTTTCTATGTATAGAATGGTGTTTGCAATCATTCAGTAAAAAATGAGAGGGGTATCATGTAAGGCTAGGTCATTTATATATATACATATACACACATTTGCAGGCTATCAAGATTTCACCGCATCTATAGCCTTTTCCTTCTGTAACTCTTGCTCATGAGCTCGCTCTTTCCACATTCTCAGAACCTCAAAGCAGACTTCAACTGCGATGAGGAGGATGATGATCCATTCAAGCCGCAGTCCGTGTGTCTCACTCAGCCTCTCCCGAAGGACGCTTGCTATTTCCTGGGCATAATCCATCTTTTCATTCAAGAGCTTGATGCGAATTCCGACATCCAGCGCTCTTCCTACCTGTTCGTAGTATCCTTCCAGCCCAAGTTCATGCCGACTATCCCAGAAGAGGTCCGGTAAGGAGTCCGTGAGCTCTGAATAAAGATTTAACTGGGCGCGTACGCTTAATAACTGCCCTGTCTTTCGAAGGATAAAGTCTCTTGTGTATGGAAGGCGAGAACCTTGGGACAGTAGTGTAGGTATCGATCTGGTTGATTCGAAATAATTTGACAGGAGTGTTTCCAACACTGCCAATTTTGTGCTCCGAGCCAGCCCGGAGGAAAATGCCACTTTAGTGAGGACCGTATCCACAGGCTGTCGATCAAGCTGCGGGCTTGTTCCATTGTTGCTTGGTTTGGTGCCTAGGATAATGGTATCGCCCTTTATGCTGCTGCTATCTCGTTGCGGATCCTCCACATACTCGAGATCTTCCGTCTCTAAGCTATCCAGATGAGGTCTTTCGGCTGCAGGGAGTAGGGTCCTAGTTGCGAGGAAAGATGTAAAGCCTTCTGGGAGCGACCACGCCACAACGGTACCCGAGGGGAAAACGAAAATATCGCCAACTTCATTGGGAGCCAAATCCGTGGTGGAAGGGTTGCTGACGCGACGAATGGAGTCTAGAGGGACCTGAACATGAACCACTTGGGGGTATAGGCCGGTATCAAAGGGATCTGGTTCATAGCCTTTCTCTTGAAGAATTTCCCGCACTTTGCAAATGTTGAATTGCTCGGCCACCGCATAAGCTGTCACAACCTGTCGCTCATGAATCAAAGATCAGCGATTAAAAATTACCATCGAGGAACGTGGGTTAAAACCTTGGTTTGATAGAGTCCTTGCTCTTTAAGCATAGCTTTAGAGAGAAAGCCATCTTTTGATCTTTGTGCCTCAACCGCGACTCTCCGTAACGAGGTTGGCGCTGCCGGCGATCTGCCTCCTCTTCTCCGTTGCTTCTGGAATTCTTGGTTTGGCTCCTCGCTCCCATCTCCGGCTTTTGATTGTTTCTGAGTCAGGTACGCATTGGAAGAGAAGAAGTCCTTGCGCCGAGGAAGGCTGAACGGTGATGTGGCATGAAGGTATTGGCTCCGGGGCTGTTTCACAAGCCTGGTCACTGCGGGTCTTTTGCAAATGGAGCCAACGAAGGGTTTTGCAAACATTTACGCAATTGCAAGAAAGAACAATTTTGACAAACAGAGAGATTAAGGTGGTGAAGTCAGTAATTAACTGGGTTCTACTGCCATGACACGTACGGTCGGCCGTTGAAGATCTGGAAGAGTGAATGAATTTTGAAAAGACCGCGGCGGTTCCGCGGGAAGTAAAAGAACGACCGGGAGTTCAACTCAGTGATGTAACTGGAGCTAAGCTGAAATCAGTTAAGAGGGACTGCTTAGTAACCGATCCCCGACATACCCCAACACATCCGGGCATGCTTTCTTGCATCGGTGACACTTCAACATAGCTCCATCAGGTACGGTAAAGGCTCTCGCCATGGACGCGCCTGGCGCGACTGAGGCGACGGATGATGTCCGTCAGGATGGTTCCGACTTGGAGGTATCCGCCGGGCAGAACGTTCACGAGTCCAATACCCACCCCAATCACCTGGATCAATTGGCAGGAAACGATCACGAGCACGACGACGACAAGGATGAGGACCAAGATGACAATGAGCATGGAGATGGTAGCGAAGAGGAAGACGAAGAGGAAGCAGAGGACGACGAGGACGAAGAGGAGCCACACTTGAAATATGCGTACTTGACGAAGCATTTGGGAGCGGTGTACCGCAACGGCGATGCAACAAGCTCTTTCCTCGCTGCTGGAGACAAGATGGTATGAGATCTGTGACTATTAGGATGCTACATGAAGCTGAGATTTCGTCTAGATAATTGGAACGCATAATGGTAATATTGTACGTTGTCCGGCTGCCAACTCGGGCGCACTCCACATCTAACATCCCATTAGCATGCGTTGTCACTACCTCTGTTCCAATCTCTCCGTGTGTACCATGCACACTCTGCTAGCGTCACTTCTATATCAGTTTCGCCATTCCCTCCACCCTTACCGAACACTAAACCCGACAGCATTAGGCTTCATGAAGCGCAGGACCACCACTCCAGACCATCGTCCGGCGCTTCCAGTCTTCGGGGCAGACCAAGGCCGAACAACCACCCGACGCTATCCTCTACGCCTTCGAACTCGATATATATAGCGACGTCTTCCATAGATGGTAATGTGTGTGTTGCGTCCCTTGTGGATTCCAAGGACGCCCTCTTACGCAATTTTGGCCGGCCTGTACAAGCCGTCGCACTATCACCAGAGTACAAGAGTGACAGGACATTCTTATCCGGTGGTCGGGCAGGGGACCTGATCCTCACCACAGGTGGCCGGGTGGGTGTAAGTACGAATTCGACAACGATGGGGGGTGCTGCAGCTGCTGCTACGAGCTGGCTTGGCTCTATTGGCCTCGGGAGCAACACCGGCAAGGATACCATATTACATAGTGGCGAAGGATCCATTAGCACGATAAAATGGTCGTTGTCTGGGAAATTCGTCGTCTGGGTCAATGAAGAAGGAATCAAAATCATGCGATCAAACCTTCATTTAGATTCATCTGATTCAGAATATGCCTGGAAACGCATCAGTCACATTGACCGCCCCAACCGTCCTGGATGGGAAGAAATGTCTAGTGTTTGGAAGGCTCGCGCTGAATGGGTTGACGACGCCGCTCTTGATAGCGAGGAGACGCCGCAGCACAAAGGCGAGACATCTCTCCACGATCACTCAACCGTTACACCCACCAAAGAAAAGGTAGAGAGGTTGGTAGTTGGCTGGGGTGGTACGGTCTGGGTGATTGAAGTATATCCTGATCGGCCAAGCAAGAACAACAAAGATCAAAGAATTGGATCTGTAGAGGTCTCTACAATGTAAGTCGCTGAAGTACTGGATCCGGCCGATTCCTAACCGATCTTCAGATTGCGGACCGACTGTATTATATCCGGAATCTCATTATATACTCCCAGCCTTTTGGTGGTCCTCGCCTACATTGAGGCTGAAGACGCTTCAGGGGATGAACGGTCCAAACACGGAGTCCTCCATCCCGGAGGACGTCATCGTCCAAAGGGGTTAGAGCCTGAGCTTCGGATAATCGATATTGAAACCAAAGAAGAGCTCAGTGCAGATACCCTTTCAGTCAGCCGTTATCAGAATCTCACTTCTTCTGACTATCATATGTGTGTCCTACCTCCGTGGAAGACAACTGTATCCGTTTCCCAGAAAGGTGCATTGGAAGCTCTGGGGAGTGGCCTTTGGGATGCAACTATGTACCCTGCACGCTTGTTCAGCTCGGGTGCCAGTATTCGCAGTTCGACTAGCAGCGGCGACAAAGGTTCTAGTAGAGCACCCAGTACTTTTACCTCCCGACGAGTATCTGTAGAGGAGCCCTTACCTAAAGAGATACAAGATATTTCAGGGAATGCGGGGGCCAAGATCTTCATACATAGTCCGTATGATGGTGTCGTTGCATTGAAGAGAGATCTTGCAGATCGCCTGGCATGGCTGGATGCCCACGAGAAATACGAGGAAGCATGGAAGCTCATCGATGAGCATCCCGAGGCAGCAGGATCTGCAAATGAACAGAACGATACCATGTTTGCTCCTCTTGCAAGAGCTCCAACTACCCTTGGTGAGTTCTTGGCAGATGATAGGTCCTCTACGACAACCACCGGCCGAGGGGTCATCTCCGCTGCCGAGCAAGAAAAGCGCCGTATTGGTGAGCTGTGGATACAGCAGTTAGTCGAGGAGGATAACTGGAAGGAGGCGGCTGAGGTTTGTGTAAAAGCACTTCATACCGCACCACGTTGGGAACATTGGGCTTGGACTTTCATCAAGCGCGACAAGCTGGATGAAATATCACCTGTCATTCCAACCGATATGCACCCACCCCTAGCTTCAGCAATCTATGAAACCATCCTTGGCCATTATGTCACTCAAGACAGACATAGGTTTAGTGAGCTCATAGGCTCCTGGCCGTTCGATCTATTTGATGTTGCTGGAATCATATCAATTATCAAAGAGCAACTTGGATCGGGCTCAATTACACTCGATTCGGATGAGTGGCGCATCTTGATGAATTGTCTTGCCAAGCTGTATCTAGCCGGTGGTCACTATGGTGAAGCGCTACGTTGCTACGTCCGACTCCAAGATGCGGACACGGCGATGGCTTTGACAAGAGAGCATCGTTTACTGGATGCAGTCTCCGACGATATTCCGGCGTTCATCATGATCCGTGTGTCCAAGGAGCAGCTCAAGTCAGCGCCAAAATCCGAGCTGGAGGAGCTCACAGCAGAGCCCATCAAGCTCCTCGTGAGCGAAGCATATACAGGAATCGTCCGTCCAGAGACCGTCGTCAACCAGATGAAAGCAGCAAACCGGCTCTTATTCCTCTATTTCTATTTGCGGGCTCTTTGGCGAGGAGAGTCTCTACCACATGGCGCTACTAAACCCCGAAGGGGTCACTTCGCTCACATCCGGGACGCAGCGAGCAAATTGGCAGCCGACGAAGGAAAAGCACTAGTGGACAACTTCGCTGATACAGCAGTCGAACTTTTCGCCAACTACGACCGTGCATTGTTGATGGAGTTTTTGCAAACTAGCACCGCTTACACATTCGACTTGGCAGTCACCATATGTGAAGGCCGGCGCTTTACACCCGAACTGATCTACCTCCTATCAAAGATGGGTCAAACGAAGCGAGCCCTGAACCTTATTCTCTCCGAATTAAAGGATGTATCCCAAGCCATCTCATTCGCCAAGTCCCAAGGCGAACCAGACCTCTGGGAGGACCTCCTCGACTACTCAATGGACAAACCACGATTCATCCACGGTCTCCTCGTAGAAGCCGGTACGGCCATCGACCCGATAAAGCTCGTCCGACGTATCCCCAGCGGACTAGAAATCGAAGGTCTGCGCGAGGGCCTGTCGCACTTGATCCGAGAACACGATCTCCAGGCAAGTATCAGCCAAGGCGCCGCCAAAGTCCTCCAAAGCGAGGTCGCAGTGGGCATGGACACATTACGTCGAGGTCAGCGACGAGGTATCAAGTTCAATGTCATTGAAGAAGAAAAGCGCCCAGCATCTTCATCAGCTACCCTGTCCGGAGTGCCCGAGAAAGACGAAGCGAAGAGTGACGCCGGCACTGAGAAGACCTCCGTACCACCACATACTCCAACGCAAGTCGGGAGATGTGCAGGTTGTCAACTTCCTTTCCATGCCAATGGTAAGTCTTATCTTTGTTTATACCTGTAGCTGTTGTCTTTTGTTCCTTTCTTCTGTCGCTTGCTTTCCTGGATCTTGAAGCTAATGGTTATTAAACTGGCAGAGAAAGAGATTCTCGTTGGGTTCGCTTGCGGACACATCTTCCATCTTTCCCACATTCATGCAACTGAACCCTCCGGTGACACCACACCGGAAAGTCGGTCAGCTACTCAAACTCCAAAGCCGTTCCGGCAGCTGCATACATTAACACCGGATGAGGCCCCAATGTCCACCTCCCGGACGGTTGGTCCTAAGGTTACCACTGCCCGTCTTCTCCGAGACCGGATTGGCGATGGTTGCCGAATTTGTGCACTTGCGAAGGAGATTGAAGCGATCGGAGAAACTGATACGTAACCGGATCAACAATGTTTCTGTGCAGGCTTTGCTAGAAACACTCCCACGAGTGTCATTCTAGGAGATGCTTTGGTGCATGTTAGTATCGATGTGGGTGAAGGACGGCTGGTTCCGCTACATAGCTCCCTGACGCGACTACAGACGGTATAGTTTTGTTTCTTAGGAGATACCCATGGTAGTAACAATTACAGTGCAAGTAATATGAGAATTGCAAGAGTCTTCTTTAGATTAGGCGGGACCTGGCCGCTCTGTGAACAAACATGGATCGCTTCAATATTAATGGGAGCAGGGAGTGTAGTCACTAATGCACCCCGTAGCAAACTTGTAACAACAAAGAACACCATTCTGACGCGATCTCTCAAAACGATAAGGAAAGCCATGGCCAGTCATCGCAGATGCTGCTGAAAACAATCAACACTGTAACACCAGACCCGTATGAAGTTACCAACGTCATGGGTAGGCACCCAGCACTACAATGCCAGCGGGCGCTCAGATCATCAGGAAGCCAACAAAGGTCATTGCCAGGACCAGCAAAACGTTCCTCATTCTTCCCTGCACAACCGCTTCATTCGAAGTCGGGGCAACGGTAGATGTTTGACTGCCACTGGTAGTGGCGGTGGTACCAGCTTTCCCTGTAGACTGGGAGATAGTTGGGTGAGCAGTACTGGACATGCTAGAAGGCTTTGTGGAGACTGAAGGGGAAAGAGTGCCGGTAGAAGAACTGCTTAGAGTTCCAGTCGATAGAGTCGTTCCAGTCGCGGTGGTGATAGGGCCAACTACAGTGGAGCCAGCACCAGTAGGAGCATTGCCCGTAGGGTTAGTGCCGGCAGGGCCAGTGCCACTAGGAGCAGTACCAGTCACCACAGTAGTCTCAGAAACGGTGGTCACAGTAGGGGCCGGGGGAGCACCCGGGGCTCCAGGAGTGGTACCCGTGCTTTGAGAAGTAGTGGCCACGGGCGGAGGAGGAGCACACACAGTGTCTGTAACAGTAACGGTTACGAATCCTGGAGAGTGCTTAATTAGCGATTGCCTGTAACTAATGGCAGTCTGGAAAGTAGCACACGAGCCGGGAAACTTACCACAGCGGGGGGCCAAAGCGCGAGGCTCATCAACTAGCGAGAGCACTATAATCAGACATCGTAATCTTGTTGGGTGTTATCTGGGGAACTTACAAGTAGGAATGCCCAGCAGGTGGTCATCATCGTAGATATTGCCAAGATCCTCTGAGACATCTATGAATGTAAGTAGTGTGTTCTATTGGCAATCTCCGCAGCTGTACTATACTTACCCAGGGCGGGAACCATGGCCGCGAGAACCAAGGCAGCAAGGAACATAAGAAGCTTGATGGACGAGTTGGAAACCATATCGAACGAATGGAGCTTTGAAAGCACACCAAGACTGGGAGAGAATTGGGAATGAAAGTTGACAGGTTCAGAGAGAAAGCTGTATAGATAAGGAAAAGGAAAAAGAAAAAGAAAAAGTCTTGATAGATGAAAGCGAGCGTGAAGAGTAAAGTGGATGGATACGTTGGAGAAGGACAGAAGAGGAGGTAGAAAGAAAGACGAGCAGAGAAGCGAAAGAGGCGGAGAGTCAGGCGTTGCCCGTGACACCCTATTGCCTGGACAGAAGTTGCAACGAAAAATTCCCAGAAGGGAAGGCACGAACTGACTAGCTGGCATTGACTGGAGCAAATACATGTGACTTGACATTCACCGTTGATAATACTAAGTATAGTATCTAATGTAGGGCGAGATGCCCAAGTGAAGTCTTCCAGGGTACATCTTGAACATACACACATATGTGTATGCATATGCATATGCAGCAAGGATTAAAATCTGAGGGGCATTAGTCGTGATGTTTTTACTGGTAGCACATTGAGAGTCCATGTACTACTTACTATCTAAAGATTGGGAAGCTTTCAACAACACAATAGGAGATACCGCCGGGGGGGGGGGGGTTGAAACTTCGACGCCGGGGTTACAAGGGTTACACATGTAGACAAGCTAAACTCAAACGTATCATGCCAGAGGGTGAATAAACCCTTTAAAATCCCGGCCACTACTGGAATATAGGAAAAGATTGTATTTAGAAAGTAAATGGATGTCTAAGGCAACAATTGGGTGGTTTGAACTGATAGGGCAACTTCATCCCTTCATGGTCACAATGGAATTGAAACCGCCAAAACAGGACTATTTTTGCATAACGACTGTGCGAAACATTAGATCCTTAGTGCGCCCTGGCTAGAACACGCTCAACCGGAGGAGAATTCGGCGATTCCACCTCCACCTCGAACGGTGCCGAAGCCACCCTTAGCATCGTATCCACCATCGGTGCACAGATTTGCCACTCACAGATCGTGAAGTCGATCAGATCGACTGAGACACGCTTTCCACCTCAGTAGGGAGCCTCTAACCCATCCAGTGCTAGTTCTCTGCACGTCAGGATCAGCCAATCACCCCAGTCTCTTATGATATACAGGGAGAAACTGGGCCAGAGGTCTGTCTAGTCAGGCCCTCGGGTCCAGTGCATTACCAGCCCAGGGTAATTCGCCCGTACTGCCACTTGTTCAAGCTAGGATGAGCTTAATTGAGCTAAATTGAAGACGAGCCTCCTGCGAGGAAAAAAGGCTATTACTCTATCAAGCGTTAGAGGATATGAAATAGATGCGGAATCAAACGAAAGGAAAGATCCCGGAGTCTATTGCACAATGCGAGTACCAGTTAGTCGAATGTGCAATTGCATTACAAGACTCCCAAACAGAGGCTCTCCAACTTTCTGAACAACATACCAGGTGTAACACATACCAAGGTAGCCCAGGATAAGGCTCTCGGGCGTTATGAAATACGAATACCGTATACCGTCTAGTGTCCGTCGCGATGTACGTACATACGTACGAGTGTACACCCGTACGTATGGAAAACCCGTTCCAGGCTAAATTAGTGATTGTTACATGGACAGGTTTGCAGGCCCACATCGGCACGACCCGAGTGGGGAGCACGCGCCAATTTACCGCTAATTCGTTTGTCCAAGGAAATTTGTCGAGTCGGTTTCAAACTATGACGACATCGCGAGGACCCCAAGACAATCTGTGAGTGAAAAAACCGTAGCTATGATGTCAGACCCCCAGTGGTGTCTTTTCCCAGACGCGTTTACGGAAAAGATAACCGATCTAGACCTTTTCAAGATGCCCCTGGTCCGAATGAGTTGGATAATAGGTCAATTGGCGCAGATAAGAAGAATTGAATTGAGTGCCATCTTATGGGCCAGCTTGCGCGTCTCCTCCTAGAGCAAATTGATAAAAGGGAAAGTAGGGACGAATCAAATCGAGAATTTGTTGATGGAGAAACCGCCTGCCTGTGGAAGGTGGACACCTATTCATACCGTCTCAATTCCGCGATCGATGATTGGTTAGAAATTCGAAATCAGGTCCAGTCCATATACAATCATCCACGATTCTGCAAAGTATGACGAGTGACCCCTGAAGAAAACACCCTGAACAAATCTTCGATACGGATTAAGTAGGATCGCAGACTCTTTGTCGACAAGTTATCAGAGGCGAAAAATTCCGCCTCGCATGAGGGGCTCCCGTGGTTGTCCAATTTCAAAATTAGAATTTGGTTTTGGCCCAATCCAGGGGCAAGATGGACATTACGTGCAGTAACTTAATGATAAATTAGCTTCAGAAAAGGTTCGGCCATGTGGTCACGGCGTAGTTCCCAATTTGGGCCACCAAAGCAGATCCCGAAGCGTATGATCGTCCCGACGAATGTTGAAATAGACGATCGGGTTCTAGATTCCTCAACCTAATTTGGAGAATGGAATGCAAAGCTTCGTCGATTGGAGTAACAATCGGTCATTGGGGTAGATTTTGCCTGCACCTTGGCAACACGTAGTAGTACCCATTCATCCCTATTTGAAATCCTTGCCTGAAGAATACAATTAGCCCTTGAAGATAGCATTATTATATAGAAAATTTGTGCTTAATATTGATATTAGTTACAGATCAAACAAAAAAGAACCCCCTCCCCCAGCTTTAGGCTGTACAGTACTACTAGTAGTACTAGTAGTAAAAGCGTCGCTCTCCTTCACGGAAGAGGGACTACTAGTACAGTCCGCTAATGCAGCCGCTTTTGCAAAGCGTTCACACGTGACCTTTCATGGACTTTCTTCTAGGCTCACGCATAGTGCGCAAATAGTCAACTTGGACTATGTCGGTGGGGATATTCGGGGATAAAAAAAAAACCAAAACACATGTCATATGAACTTTTAAATAACCCAACTATATATATATCTTTTTTCTAAATTGATCTGTATACTCTGAGCTTAGACTTTGGTGCACAACACATAATATATCCCAATCCTCCGCTTCTGAGCGGTTCATATGATCAATAGTTGATACTAGTTCATTCAGGACATTCCATCAGAAGAGATTATATCATGCCAACAGGAGCCGGTCAAGTCTCCGCACAAATCATGACAGTCACAGGCCGGCTGAGAATTTGAATGGTAACACATAGGAGTTAGTTCATAAACCCCATTGAACAGACAAACCAGTTCATGCTCAAAAACGAAAAAAAATAAGGCTTGCAAAGTGCAACAAAACAATCATGCCCAAGTATCATATAAACGGAATAGGGTATCTATATCGTATGCTGAGCCCTTGATTCGGTTCGCCTCGGAACAACAAAGTCATGAAACAAATAACAATGCTTGTGGACGTGTATTCCCGCCAGCCTGGAAAGGGGAAGACAGAGGAGAGAGAAATAAAGAAAAAAGATAATTCGTGTGCAGATAGGATTTAGGATATCGTAAATATGGCACAAGGAATTGAGAATCGTGGAATGATCGAAAACTCATATAACGACAGGGTATCATTGCTCGGAGATTCGTGTATTATCCCCGTATCCAACGCCCCCAACATGAAACACAACCGAAACTCCAAATGAGATGAAGAGAAAATAGAGAACCAAAAATAAAGGTATTAAAAACCTAAAAAGATGGTGAGGGATCGAGTTGATTGGATGCGCACCAGGCGCCGATAAGAAAAAAACAGGACGGACCGGAAAGGACCGCTTTTGCTTTAGTAATTATCATTGCCAACGTAAATTAGAGAAGGAAAAGAAAAAGAAAAAGAAAGAGATGGAAAAAAAGTCTTTTAGAATAGGGCTTCTAGGAAGACATTTTTTTGGCCAGCAAAGTAGTTAGTAGCTTAGCTTGAGCTCAACACCAGAGTTCATATTGTCGGAATCGATGGCTGCTGCACTGTCAAAAGCAGCAGTCTCGGAGATCTCGACCACCATGTCTTGGCCATCAGGCAGCTCGCGAACCACATCGTCATCAACCATGATCTTCAGGCCATTTTTATTGACTCGAAGCACGCGCACTATACGCTGTGGATCTATGCGTTGTTTAACAGAGATCTTCTCCATCAAATCGCGCACGGTCCGCTCTGTCAGATAAACAGCTCGGTAATAATCATCTTTGGCTTGATCATTGCGTGGGAATCGAATATAAAAACATGCAACTGAGCTATAGTTAGCGAGGGTGCTATGACGCATGTTTTACTTTACAATACTTACTGGGCTTGGGCTGGCGTTCGGCTGGTGGTCTATATGTTGGGTCGATATCCACCGCCTCAATGAATCCCATGGGCATATCCCCGTCTCCATTCGCCACCCTCTGGATCTTTATCGGATGCTTCAGAACAACTTTGTCTCCGCAAACTTCGGAACCTGGACGCGAGTTTTCGGCGGATGTATTTACTGAGCATTGGTAGCCTGAATCGTAATATAAGCCCGTCTGCGATTGAACGGTCGGGGTATGGCAAGTTGAGCTCAACGAAATGCAACTGTTCGTCGGAGACAAGGTCGAGAAACCAGCCGATCCGTCAATACTAAACCGAGGACCACTCTTGCCCTCCTTCTTGACAAATTCACGAGGCTCGGGGAGTTGAACAGGGTAAAGGTCGGGGTCGTCCTGCTCATCACCCTGCAGGCCAAGAATGCTCACTGGTCGGGTAGATGTGAACATTTCTTGCATTAAAGCAAGTTTTATATGTAGATCATCTTCCATAGACAGTCTGTCACCATCTTGGGAGCCCATCGACCATGTCCGCTTGTGTTTGGTAATCTTCGCAGGGCGAGCGTCAGAACCTTTAAGTGCGATCGAGCCGCCGCTACGCTTCCGCTTTCCATAGTTGCCAGCGCCCATCTCGGCCTGAGCGATCTGTTGCCTGAGTTTCTCGATGGACTTCTTAACGTGGGCAACGTCATTAGATAATTTTCGCTCCGCACCATGATCACGAAATAGTTTCACTTTGCAGTAGCAAACCTCCGCCTCTCTCCTTTGCGCTGGATCTGCATTATCTGGAGAAACCATCTCTGTTTTGGCGCAAAGTCGGACTGGAATACCCTTCACACCTTTAGAGTGGCTGAAATCAGTTGAAAGAAAGTTGAACCGAACAGATATAGCACACTCTGATGCTCCAGTTGTGGGGCTAGCCGTCCAGGTCACACAAAATCCGTCAAAGGAAGAGCTCTCAAGCTGGACCTGTCGGTTTTTTTGGTCATCAATGCCTCCCTGAATGGGGTCAACGTATTCAACAGCCTGGAGCTTGCCACCACGCTGGTGCGCCTCGTTCAACCCTCTGCCTTCTTTCCATAACTGCCAACAAGCGGCGGGTTTCGATCTTTGTTCCTTATCTTGGAACGAGACACGAATATAAGTCCGGTACTTTACTGGCTGACCATTCATCGGGGGCGGCGGAGCAGAGTCAATGACGGAAACGGAGTATGCTTGACCCTTGTTGAGGTAGGATACTGGAACCTCATTTTGGTCTCTAACCATTGCTGTAGGCGCCCGCAATGTGACATGGTAGCGGAATCTATGATTGAACACGGTTAGATACACAACTGACGGGGAGGGGACTTGCTAGCTTACTTTTCGCCGGGAGATTGGACATCGACTTGATCACGTTGCAGCATGGATGGAATCATGTGTGAATGGGTGTGTCCCTGCATATCCACGTCATTTAGTGACAGTTCATCCACAGATTCGTCCATGGCATCGTAACCTGAATCACGGTGAACAAATGCAGGCGCAAATGGAGCTTGCGGAGCGAACGGTTGTGGATTCTGGAAATGTGGCGCAATGTACGGCTGATGGTATTGGTCGAGGCCCATCGCTGTAGTATCAGCATTGATAGTGGCGCTAGCAAGCTGCTGCGGCAGGGTAAGAGGGGTGATCATGTTCATCCCTATAGGAGTATGAAGGTCGCCCGCTTGGCTGTGGAACACCGCACCGAGCCCGCCTGAGTTCGGCGTGTAGTAGCCTTGCGGCTGACTTAAGGGATTTATGAAGGAAAGTGAGTTAGGGTCAACATAAGACGGCGCGAATCTCATATCCTGGCCCGGACGAGGCGTGGGATCATTCAGTTTCAAGTCACAGCTCTCCATACTGAGTCTAAGCCGGTGAGCACAGTCAGTTTCCACTCAGGGTAGCAACAATTTTCGTGATGGCCAGAAGGGAAAGGGGTCTAAAATACTTAGCCGGAGTGATTGGGCCAGCAGGGATTTGACCAAAAGGCGCTGTATGGCGATCGGGAACTGGAGGGACAACATCAGAGAAAGTCTTTTGGAACCTCTGGATGAGTTCGTCGCCTGGTTTCTGGGAGTTCTTTCTGTATAGCGGGTCATGTGCATCAGCAAGACATTCAATAGTGATCCTAAGAAAACTGAGTGCATACCTATTACGAAACATTCTTAACGGAAACCGGGCGTGTATTTAGTACCCAGACGGTAGGCCCAGGGATGGGGGTTGAAAGCTGGGGAGAGGTGAAGAAGGGAGTGCCAATAAAGATGACATCCGGCTCAACACAAGACTCTTTAAACCCAACTATGAAAACCGTGGAGGACTTTTTTCAGATTGTTTTCTTTTTTTTTTTTTTAGAAATTGTCGGTATGACCCGATCTGTCGAATAATGCGGCCAGATTATGCCGACCCGAATCACCTCAAGAAGTGTCGGGTCGCAGTCGCGCCAAGTTCAAAGGCGGAGGAAACAAGTTGGGGAAAGACGCGGATGTGGTGGGAAAAAAGGCGGAAAGGTCGAAGGAAAGAAAACGCAATCAAATATGGATCGAAGTTACAACGAGAAAGTGTCCCCTTACTCTCAAGGTGTCAGATGAGACATTAAGGAAGCTTATGGTGACGGGAGACCGGTTTTAAGTACAATCTTGGAGGAGGCGACAAGAATATTATGCACACAGGATCTGTTTGTATCGGGTAGATAGTAGTGGGGGAATGCTTTGAGCCGTGAAGGAGAGGGGCGTGCGGGTGGGTAATAGAAAGAAAAAGAGAGAGAGAGAGAGAGATAGAGAATAGGAAGACAGGAAGAAACGAGTGGGAATGGTTCAAAATAGAAGGGGCAAAAAAAAAAAAAGAAAAGGAAAAGGAAAAGGAAAAGTCGATGATGAATCTGATGTGAAGGAAGAGCTGGAACCAAACGGCACAAGAAGCACCCAATAATGTTGGACTAGTTCGGAGGACTGTGGAGGAGGTAAAGAATTGAAGTAGAATGCCTTTTTGGGGAAAGAATCGGCCCTGGACACCCAACGACGCAACTCTACTAGTTTTAGGTGGATTTGGTCTGCTCGGAAGAATTGTGGACAGGATGTGATAGTTATTAATACCAACAGTAGCGAAAGGGCCACATGGAAAAAGAAAGAGGTTAATGACGTGCAAAAACACTTTGGTGAATGGGTGGATGGCCCAAATTAAAAAAGTAAATCAAATCCTACAAAATGAAAAATAATACTAATAGAATACAAGCCGAATGAGGTAGTAGAAAGCTGAAGGTTTCGAGAGTCTACACAATTAAAATAGAAAAAAAGAAATGGCAATGCTAGCTTCTCCAGTTTTTCTTTTGCCTTCTCTCTTTTTTTTTTTTTTTTTTTTTCCCCTTTTTCTTATAGAGCAAAAAGCAAATAAAAGCCATCATAGTTCCTATCTCTTCATTTCTCTACATTTCTTTTTTTTCTTTTTTGAATTTAGAATTTGAATTTTGGATTTTCTGGTATGGAGTTAAACGGACATGGCCCAGGGATCGGGCGGGTGGGGAGGAACCTGGATTCGAAGAGGGGTGTGGGGTGGATCCAATAGGTAAGGACGACCTACCCGCCAGGTATTACACAGGTACCGTACATACATGCAGAAATAATGTGGTATGAGGAGGTATGGTAACTATGCCCGTATCTGGGCTTCACGGTCCACGGTATGAGAATCAGTTACCTAATCCGCTAGGTGGGTACTTAGGTAGACAGGAGTACTTTCAGGAGGTATGTAGGCAGGTACACTTCCAGCTACTTACTGGTTCCGGGGGGGAGGAATTTTCTTGAACTATCCATGTCGAACGTAACTATGAAAGGGGAAAGACATTCGAGCGATGCTTCCTCGGAAGCTATCTATATCTGTGGATTTTTGATCAGTTGGCCAAGCCGAACCGTTTTACGCCATGTTCTTGAACCGTCTAGAATATGCGGCGTAGTCAACGGAAATAATTGCCAATGGAAATACACCAATCGTCGGGGCACCCTTTGACTTCCTCTCGTGCTCCTCCTACCAAGAGCTATCCGAACTACCTACGGTTTACCAAGCCCAAGCATCACTCTCAACGCCATATTCCAAGGGGGCTTGTATTTCGGACACTCTGACGGAAGCGCTCTATTGTATGAACAGTGTGCGAGGTGCGGAATACTAGCTGTTTATCGTATCAAAGGCTGTTTCCAGATTGGGAAGGCATGAAAGGGTGGCCGTGGAAGCCCCAGTAACTTTCAGGGGCTCAAACTTCCGCTGCGGAAGTTACCATACAATCTCAGCTGTAGAGCTCTACATAAAAACATTGTTCTTTGTAGGATAGGGAATCAGCTCAATTGCATCTGAATGGAAGGTGTAACATGATTGCATTCTATGTATGTATATCGGAGTGGTGTCAGACATGTGGCAATTGTATGTTTTCCTTTTTTCGTCCCCTTCTAGAATCACCACTTTTTCTAGAAGATGATACGAGGCGTGGATGACGCATAATAAACAAGCTATATATCGAGCGACTGATGGGACGTTTCTAGAAAAGGTCTAACTTACTAGGGATTAAGGCACCACCGCCTCCAACCCCATACTTAGGCTTTCATCACATGGATGGCACTTGTATTCCCTTGACGCTTCCCAGATCTTGATATCACCACTATCGCAGCGACAGCCACATATATCAACCGGAGAACCTAATCTCGTTTGGCGTACGGCACATCCGTCATGGCGATAGCACCGCCAGCCTCATTGATTTGCTGATGAGCCTCTTGTTAAACCAGTTAAGGCCTATCAATACCTTGCGCATTGTTCAGAAACCTGCATGCATTTGAAAGATTGAGTCCCGGGGGGGGGGGGGGGGGAACTAAAGCACCTAAAGAAGAAACAGGAAAGACAGCCATTCTTGGATGCCCGAAACCCTCGAGTCTCAACCTAACGGGGCTGCACGGAGCACCTGCGACCCGCCGATTCGTGAGAGCTTCGAGCCACTTTTAACCATGGAATTGGAAATTATGACAGGATGCTATTCAGATGCACGCAGGTCCCTGGACTCGAATGATATCAGGTCATACTCAGTGAAGGCGTACATGGTGAAGAATCCCTCTCCCCTAATGATCTGTCTTCTGTTGTTATCGGTCTTGGGTATTGTATTGTCCGTAATGACAGCGATATCAATTTGCCCAAAGTCGCAACGACATCTATTGACTGGGTAACTGGGCCGCCAATCAAAAGGGTGGGATTCCGCTGCCGTCGCACGGAGCTCGCCGAAAGTCAATTACAAAACGACCATGTATTGTAAAGACCTGCCAAAGAACAAAATTGGAGCAGTGACTTTCGGTGGCTGGTGAGGCAACAAAATAGTCCCTTCAGCATTAAATTTCCGTATTCGCCCCAGGGATAGAAGAAGTTCAGAGTTTTCAGATCAACAGTAAAGATGGAAAAGGGAAATGGAAGAAAATGAGGTTTCTATTTTGATTCTTGAAACTTTCAGTTTAATTCTTCTTTTTTTTTTTTTTTTCTTTTCAACACAACCTTGTCTGTCATTCATTCCATACCGTTGGGAGGAGGCTCGTGTTCGACTACTTGCTGACAGCCGAGATCGTCCTAGAGAGGGAGGTTGACTCTTCCTAGCGCGATAAGTGGATGATATCCATCAGCCCATCTAATTTGTTGGACGAATGATCCGATTCAAGGGGGTGCGGCCTAGGATAAGGTACTGTAGGGCGATTATGGGGAACTTCCCATCTAGAAATGACAAAGGGAGGCATGCATTGCGTCACTTCCGTCTTATTATCACATTAGCATTCCTGCTCCACATTTATGACATCTCTTCCCATCAGACAGAATCCAGCACTCCATTTCTCAACACAACTTTTCTGTCTCTCTCTCTCTCTCGCTTTGCCCTAACTTATTCCATCACGTCGACTAACCGAGTCTTTCTACTTAGTTTCTCAGTCGTACTAGACAGTTTCCAGCGTGCTAGCTAATTGGCAAGTGGGTCCCTGCATGGCTAGGCCATTATGGTCCCCATGGACTAAGAGGGAAAAGCCACTAAGCGGCCAATCTGATGACTCGGTATGTGTATATAAAGAAAATAGAAGAAAAAAGAAAAAAGAAAAGAAAAGTAGCTATTATGGAATAAGCATACGCATACCAGTCGGGAAATACATACAGACAAAAATAACTGAATGAGCCACAACCGATGCAGATCATTGTCCCTCACAGGCCATCATATGATGGCTATAAATCGCCACTTTGAATAAGCTTGTGTGTCTTTTCTTACACAGTGGGTGACAGTGATCTCAATGCTATTGGGTGTATACAGATTCTCAGTTTACTGGTAGCCAGGATTCGTAGGTAGTAAATAAGTCATAGACATAAAATTAATATACTAGGATTGGTCCCTATTGGCCCCGTGGGGGAGAATCAATCAGATCCCGTCAAACTGCTTCCGAGTCCGCACTGGAACAAGAATCCATCTGGATTAGTTCGTCTCCAGGAGTTACCTAAGCAATTGTGTTTGAGAAGTAACTACTATCACACTGATCTTCCGTCGAATCATAAATAATGGACGCTGATTTGCAGTGACTGTCTAACGGCCCCAGTTCCGTGCTATATATCTGTGCGCTGTTACCCACCCTGATAACTCAATGCTCAGAGATTATCGATATGTCACGCGTGAGACTTGAGAGGAAGGGCCATGTTCAAAAATAATACATTTCCCAAAAAAA